ATATATTAAATATTTTGCGGTACGATTTTCGTTTGATATATCACGGTAATTGCGTCATATTGATATTTTCACGGAAACTTCAACTCCGATAGTGTATCTGGTAAAATATCAATATAAAACATCACGGGCGAAAAATTAGTAAGCGGATAATATAAATTAAAAATTAATGTAAAAAAATGTTTATTAGCATTGGAAGAGCAGAAACCATATAATTTGCTTACTGAGAGATATAAATCTCAAAGTAGGGACATCGGAAGAAATCTGTAAGCATTTAAATAATTGTAAAAGTAAATGAAATGACTTTTGTTAGAAAAATAAATAAATTACTATAAGATATTTGATTTTACATATCTTGAACGATATTCTGCAAAATCAAGAATAAGAAGCTTACAAAAGAACGCGATAAGCTAAATAATGATCCCTTTGCATATTTTCTTGCGGCTTAGAAATTGCAATGACATATTGATATTATTCGTAATAAAAAAAATCTTTTAATATAATTAACAATGTAATGATTACGAACAATTTGTAATATAACACTCAATTGGCAAATAATAATAATAATAATTAATAGATAGTTTTCAAAGGAGCATGATACTTCTACAAAGAAATATAACACTTTCCAAGAAAACCGATAGAGTATTATTTTGTGAATGTATAACTCATTTTTATTGATAAGTTGCTTCGACAGTTGAAGCGTTGAAAAATCATTACAAAAAAAAATGGAAGCGAGCCAAAATCATAATCGAAAGATGAGTTGTTAATCTACTTATTAATTAATAAATTAATAAATTTAGGTAATTCGCGTCTCATTGGGAGAATTGATAATAATATAACATATACCATTGGGTTTACGGGTCCGGTTCATTTCACTGACAAACGATTTACCGACCATTATTTTACCGACAAACACTTCACCGACAGGATCATTTCACCGACAAACGTTTCACCAACGATTATTTCACCGACACAATCATTTCGCCGACAAACGTTTTACCGCCAGCATTATTTCATCGACACGATCATTTCGACGACAGTTTATTTATTTATTTTTTTTTTTTTTATTAAATATTACATTATAAATGAATCATTAATAGAAAAATAAAATAAATAAAACTTCACATTTAAAGGAATTTTCTAATTCAACGGTCATATGTTAATTATAGTAAATTTACATTTTTTATCAATGTTACATATTAATTTAGATGGGATGGCAATTAATAAATAAATAAAAATATTTCGGAATAAATAATCAAATTTATTGAAAAATATAAATTATAGCTTTTATTGTAATTTTTTAACTTATGTTTTTTTGGAATGTCGGTGAAATGATCGTCAGTAGAACGTTTGTCGGCGAAATGATTGTGTCGGTGAAATAATCGTCGGTGAAACGTTTGCCAGTGAAATGAATGCGGCTCACTTTTATTACCCTTCCTATGACACCATATAATGATATGATTGCATAATAAACTCCCCAATATAAATTCCTCCTTAAAAATCTTTATAAACTCGAATTTAAACTAACTTTAAAATAAATTTAAAGTAAAACTTCAATACTTGAAATATAACTTTATTATAATTTTTGCATTTGAATTGTTATCTTGTTAATAATCGTATAAAATCCATCACAGTTTGAAAGAATACCCTTTAAAGATGCTTTTAAAGTTTATCATTTAACATATGATTTCAAGCAATCTTTTCTGAACCATATATTATAATATATATTTTGACTTGAGTATAAAATATTTCCAATGAAACGATATTTCTTCATTTTCAATTGGCTATACAATTTAGAACCTTATTATTTGGCCTTCCCGTTCAAAACTTCGGATTTGCTTCAACTCACCTAAAATAAATTAAAACTTTGAGCGTTAGTTAAATATTACAAATATTGATTAATTAAAAAATTTTTTTTTGATAGCTTATCAACTCTTTTGAGCCTATTCGGAGTTCAATTTTTAAAATGGGTAAAAATGGTTTGTAAACACAATGAATTTAGAATTTGTTCCAGAATTGACTCTATCCCTAGAACTCAATTTTCAAGTTATATAATTTAAAATATCATGAATTAAATTTTAATTATTCAAAAATTTATTGGCATAAAAAGTTAAAAGATTCCAAATTTAAATAAATTATAAATATATATATATTTTTTTGAACACTTCCATCTCGAAATGACTCTCAATTATAAAGGTTCTAAAGATGACTATTTTTTTTTGTGATACACGATTCATTGAACTCATGAAAGTTGGGTATATGGAAAATCGGATGTACCGTACCGGTTTTCTTACGAATAAACAAACTTTGTATATTGGAATCTTCGAAAAAAAATTAATATTATTTTAATTGTTTGATTCCAGATTAAAATTAAAATAACGAAATGTCATTTTTTATAAATCACAATTGATAATGCGGAGAAGGAACAAATTTTTTCTTATAGTTTCGCCTCAAAAATAATTTTATAAATCATCTCGCCGATTGAAATTCATAATTAAAATTAATTACGAAAGAATACCCAAATTATAGACTTTTTATTTCAGCAATAACGTCAATGTCAAATCCAATTTCATATTAAAACATACTTTAATAATCTTCCTCGCAAAACTGAAAACAAGTTTTAAAAATCTTTTCGGTCATTAAATTCCTTACAGCAACATCAATACTTTTTTTATAAAAAGTAATCTCTAGTAATAATTTAGGTAGTTCATGATGACATAATATAGGGAGTTCAATAGAAAATTGCCCTAAAAACTCCATATCAGGATCATCACAATATTTTGGATCATCTTGTTGAGTATAATATATATTAAATTCTGCAACAGTTTGATTATGATAAAGCGGTTGATATAAAGCACAAACTGTATGACTAGAAATTATCTCTGTACCACGACGAACTAAACTAGCAAAACGAATAATATGCCCATTATGGGTTTTTCTACTAATCGGGTCGCTTAGCATCTAATGTAAAAGTAAAATAATCTTAACTATAAAATAACAATTATTATTATTATTAATAAAGAGACTTACCCATTGATTTCTTACTTTAATTCCATAAGTAAAATTAAGCGTTCTTGGACGGGCACCTAAAAATGTATGAAATATATTGAATAAGTTTCACTTATAAAAATAAATAATCAAAGATATAGTATATAAAATTGATAAATACTCGAAAACAATTTCTCGTGTTTTTTGATTTTTCTAAAAGGTTCGTTGGCAGGTTTAATACTTTTGTAATCACAACCACACAAAGGAACTTCTTCAAATTCCAACATTTTTAGAGTTTTTTCTAAATTTTGGGACATCATTTCAAGTTGTTGCATTTCATTTTTTTGTCTTTCAAAATTAAAAACTTGCTGTTGATGCTTTTTCAATTGCTCATCTCTTTCTTGGAGTTCTTTTTTTAATATTTCTATCATTTCACTTTCTTCTAATTGATTTTCTAAATGACGATAGTCATTGATATTTTGAAGTTGTTCTTTTAATTCCGAATTTTTACGTAAGATGTATCGATTTTCTTCTTGAAATTCTTTATGTTGTTGTTTAAGCCTCTTATTTTCTTCCAATAAATTTGTCAATTTATTGTTTAATTTTTCAACACCTACTCCAAATTTTTCAACATAACTGCCCGTCATAATTTCGGTTGTCTAAGAGAGTGAAGGGAGTGAAATAGACGATAAACAATATTTATAATCAAACAATCCACGTGCCGATCATTTAAATTTATGACTTTTAAATTACGTTTTATGACGAAATTGATTAATTTGAACTATACAGAAGTAGTTAAACAAGAATCTTTTAACCAAATGAAATATCGTGAAGCTTTTATTGTTGCGGATTACCGGACATTCAAGATTTTATTTCGAAGACTGTTAGGAATACCTTAGAAAAGAATTGCAAAAATAATTATTCACCAGAATTGCTATATAAAATTGTTGATACAATGTCATTTACAGAACAGAAGATGAAATTCTTTCTAACTGTTAGCTAAAGTATTAGTTAATGCTATTGAATTTTGTCGCAGCACTTCTCGTACTCATGAAAAAGAAAAACCATTTGTGACCCAGTATATGAGGTTTTTAGATATAGAGTCATTTAGTTGCAAGACAGATTTCTGATGCACTGGAAATAACATTACAGCATTCAGGGAATTCAAAGTAGGTTGTGATAAAGTTTCTAACGCGCTTTTTTGAACCGGTTACTTACCTTGGATCAAATCTTCTTATTGAATGAAGATAATGGGAAAGTTGTACGAGCATATGATGCTTGTAAATTGAACATCCAAAGTGTTCGCATTAGAAAATAAAGGTATTTTCGAATGGATATAATTATTGAGATACATAGTTTGGGGCTATGGTAACGGTCGGTCGTGGTCGGTCGTGGTCGGTCAACGGTCGTTCAAAGGCCATTGAGCGACCGACCAGTTAACTGACCGATTTTAACTGACCAGTTGACCGACGGTTAATAGTAACATTATTGAGCAAATAAAACTATATCATTTTTATTTAGTGGCGCAGCATTATCGCGGACTTTAATTTTTTTTCAAAATTTCAAAACTTTAATTTAAGAAAATGGTAATTTGCGTTAAATCAATACTGGACTCAACGATACATTTGTAATAAAAATGTTGATTTTGTTAATTTAATACAAAGTGTTTTTATTATTAAAACATAGTGACCATTAGCATCACTAAGAGTGTGCATTAGAAACTTTTAATTGTGAAAAAAAATTAAATTATCTTACACCAAGGATGATAGCTTTAGTCTTTTGCTTGATAATATTGATTAATAAGTATAGAGATCTCGAAATCCAACTTGCAAATTTAATTATATTGAAATCATGAATCAACAAATCGTTAAAATTATCGAAAACATCGAAATCCAACGAAATCCTTCAAAATCCATCGATATCCATCGAAATTGACGAAACTGTCTAAAATTATTCCCGAATGCAAATGGAAGAGTTTAAAAAGGGTATCCAAGAAGATGAACCCAGCTCCAAGATTTCCAAGGTTTCAACTTGCCTGGGATTCAGGGTTTTGCCTAGTATTTTTTACTAAATAAAGAATTTGTGTTGTTTTAAAATTTTGAACGAATTTATATCTTTTAATTTAACCACATTAAAATAATATTTTCAGAGGGATTTAAATGGAATCATTATCATGCATATCTACAATTAATTCGAAAAATTTGACCAAATTAAATAGATTTTAAATAAATTTTCTACATCGTTCAAATTAAAAAAAAAACTGTAATGAAATCATTTTAATATTAACACTACCTCATTACCACTTTTATTAGTACAAAAAAAATTTAGTAATTTGATTTAACTTGCAAAAGACTCGTGATTCAAAATCAACGGAATTTACTCTAATATTTTTAAAAGATTTAAGGTATAACGATTTATTATGTATACTAAAGAAATAAACGGATAAACCAGTAAAGATAACTTTAAAAAATATGATAGAAAATAATAGTGTTCTAAATAAAAATAAATTCTCATCAACCAAAATATTTATAAATATTTAATTGGCGTCAAATTTAAAATGAAGTTTGGATATTTGTTTGTTATTTCCATTTTTTACAGTGGCAGTAACTTCCATTTGTCCAAAAGCCAATCCGAAAGAAAGATTATCGAGACCTGAGCCAGGAAGATCCATGGTAAGCATTCCTAAAAGTTCCATTCCAGGCTCATCACAATATTTGGCATCAAAATTATTAGTATAATATAGATAAAAGACTACTTTTGTTTGAGTAGGATAAAGTGGTAAATAAGAACACGTAATTTCTTGATTAACATTCATTGGAGTACCACGCTTGGCCAAACAATGAAATTTATCAATGCGCCCATCATTGAATTTTCTATGAATTGGATCGTCTTTCGTCTAAAGTACATGTGAAATATGAGTTCATGAGCATATTAAAATGTATGATATGATATTGATTAATTACTTACCCAGCATTCTCTTACTTTAACACCATAAGTATATTTAATAATTCTTGAAGCAATAACATTTGAATTTGAATTCATAGAAGATAATCCATGCATCCCATACATCACAGCTCCAAGTTCAATTGCAGTCGTAGGATTACTAGGAAATAAAATGATACGTACTATATGTTGAAATTCTTGTTTAATTCTCTATTGCAAATATTTTGATTCACTAAAACCTCCAACTAAAAACATCGCCGAACATGTTTCAGGCGAACTATTAAGTTGTGCATGAATCAACTGTAAAACATTTTTAACAACAGGGTCAAACATTGATTTTATGTCATTAAAGTTAAGTTCAATTAACCAATCCTCCGCTTCCAAATGTTTTCTATTCTCATCGGTAATGTATTGTTTTATCACGGGAGCAATTTCTTCGAGATCCAAATCATAAGTATTAAAGTCTTGGTTTACTCCCGTAAAAGGTAATTTACATCGTTTAATAAATTCCTGAATTAAATATTGCATTTGTCCATAATTGTTTTTTCTGAGCATTTCCATAGCATTATGACCAACTTTTCTACTTAAATACATGATAAATTCTCTATCAATATAAGTGCTTCCACAGAAATCACGAGATCTTTCAGTGATTTCACCAAATTGATTTCTATTAATCAATTTACGAGTAGTCAGATCTACTGTGTTACCACCACAGTCGACAACCATGAAATTTGCTGTAATTTATTTTGATAGGAATTTTAAATTAAAATATAATTAATATAACTAGATATAATTTTTAACATACTTCCTGTTTCAAGTTCATGTTCTTGAAGCTGGTCCATGCAATATATCGTAGCAGCTTCAGCTAATAATGATCATATTAAATTAGAAATTAAAGATCAAGGTAATAAAGTAATCAATAGCGAATGTTCTTACCTTCTGTAACCAATTGCAATTGACTTGAACATTTATCTACAATCAGCCCTGCATTATATACACATTCTCTCATAATCGAACTTGCATTTTCCGAAGAATCAGCGGGACACGTAAGAACTAATAATACATCCTTATAAAAATTTAAAGAATCCCAGTGTCTTGAAAGGTCATCTTTAATCGCCTTAAATATTTCATTCAAGAAATTAAAATTAATAACATACTTATGACTTTGATTATTTTTAATAATACCTGTCAAATTTCTCTAAGATAATCAGTAATAGCCTTTTCATATCCAACTGGAAGCTAATAATGATCTTATTAAATTAGAAGTTAAAGATCAAGAAGTAATCAATAGTGAATGTTCTCACCTTCTGTACCGAATTGCAATTTACTTGAACATATATTTACAATCAGCCCTGCATTATATACACATTCTCTCATAATCAAACTTGCATTTTCCAAATAATCAGCGGTACACGTAAGAACTAATAATACATCCTTATAAAAATTTAAAGAATCCCAATGTCTTGAAAGGTCATCTTTAATCGCCTTAAATATTTCATTCAAGAAATTAAAATTAATAACATACTAATGACTTTGATTATTTTTAATCATACCTGTCCAATTTCTCTAAGATAATCAGTAATAGCCTTTTCATATCCAACTGGAAGCTTCGGTTTAAGCTCATCCGGTATATCACTCAAATGTAATTTAAACAGTTTATTATCATCTTTATTACGTTTATCTGGAAAGCCCCACGATATTACTTTATTATATTCATCATCGTATTCAAGAGCTATACAAGTTTTGAAATAAAAATGGTGGTCCCATGTATGACAAATTATTTGTTGTGAATAAACATGGCCATAAGTAAATCCAGAGTAAATTGTTCCGAAGTCTAATCCATCCACGATTCGAATGTTATCTTCAAAATTTATGAGATGAATTCAGTCCAGTTTCTAACATGATAAAATTGTATTCAATCAATTCTTCTATGTGTTACTACACCTAAATCATAAGAGCTCCACGAATTTTCAGAGGAATTTGTAATATTTTTTGCAAGTTGAATACTATCATCATTGTTTAAAGGAAAATTTGTTGTTTATTTTTTATTTTTTTCTTCAAGAATTTTATTGTTATTCTCATTAACATCGTCTAATCCAAACATTTCTAGAGATTTTTCTAACGTTTGAGAAGTTAATTCAAACTCATTTTTTTGACTTTACGAAATGATTTATACGAACTTGGGTATTACAAAATAATCAGCTGACAATGACCATTTTTTCTCGAAATGATATTTATGTTGATTGTTGCTGCTTTTTGATTATATACATTCCTGTTTTTATGAGATTATAATAGTTTTGTTTGCTCAAAATTAAAAAATTTTTCTTCCTATTATCGATTGTTGTATTCAGTTCTTTCGTTTATGTATTTATAAAAGCAGAAGGATTTAATTAAAGAAAAATTATGACGATGAATTTATTTAATAATATCTATTAAACAGTGTTGCCTCAACGTCGACGCTATTTTTCGCAATGTCAATATTCTAAGCTAATCACTAATAAACGAAGTTACAATTTAAAACTTATGAGGTTAAAAATGGCGAAAACGAAATTATCGCAAAGATGTATTTAGGGATGCTAATGGTCACGGTCGGTCATAACCGGTCATAACCGTGACCGACATTGGTCGGTCAAAGGCATCTGACCGAATCTTTGACCGACCTATTCTAACCGATTTCGACCGACTGGTTGACCTACTCTTGGGACTTTGTATTAAACTAAAAAAAAATCAACATTTTATTTTAATTATCTATAAATTAAAATTTTGAAATTTTGAAAAAAAAATTTAAAGTCCGCGATAATTCTGCGCCATAATAAAAATGACAAAGTAGTTTTAAAAAATGCCATGCTATAATTGTATAATATTTGGCTAAACTAAACTTCCTATTAAGCCAAAGCTGCTCAATAATATTATTATTAACCGGTCAGTTAAAATCGGTCAATTAAACCGGTCGGTCGGTCAAAGAACTTTAACTGACCGTTGACCGACCGTTACCATCCTAGATGTATGTATGTAATGTAATGAGGGAGACCGTAGATTTCCAACTCATAAATAAAAAAAAAAAAATAATAATTAGAACGGTATGGTCAAAAATGATCCGGATGTAACGCTATTCTCGTTAGCTTTACTTCCTATTCAAAATTTTATATTGAAAATTGTATATTTACAAACCCACCATTAAATTCAGATTTTGTTTCCTAGATTCTAGTATATGTATATCAAATTATTTTTTGCAAATGCATAAATTAATTGTTGTTCAAATAAAAAACGCGATTTAGAATAATCGAAGTTATTATTTTAAATGTGTTGTAAAAGTTAAACGAAAACATTAATAAAAGTAAGGACCTCGAAAATAGATTCCATTTGACAAATATTTATATATTTCTAATTTTGACTTCTTGGCACATTTCTAACAATAGATAGAGCCGTAATGAAGTCATTCAAGATTTCAATAAAGGACTTACAATTCCGTACGTGCATCAACGAAAGTAACATTCGTTTTACTTTCATTTATGTCCTACGAATGTTTACACGTCTCCATAATATTTACGAATATTTATGGTTAAAGTAGATATCACATGTCAGCTAAAAATTTAAAGTACTTCCTTTGCATTAAAATTCTAACGAAGTACTTCGTATTCTTACGGATTATACTTGATGGAATGCTTTCTTTTAAGTTGATAAGGAAGTGAAGCTCTAAAATTTGTGGGTGCATGTAACATGACTAAGTAAAACTTCCGTTTGGATTTGAATAGGCCTTCTAAAACTTAAGTCCAATAAAGCTATCCACTATTATTGAATAAACCTGTGTTCATAATGAGGAATTTTATTCTTTTTTACCATAATTAGTTGGAAGAGTTGGAACAGGATATTTATGCTACATTTTATACCAAGTCAAAGAAAATTTATTACCTTTGATTTGGACTTTAACATGTAATTTTCCCGTCTGATTCACGAAAACAATAAACTGATGCTCATTTTCAATATTTACATCTTAGCCATACTCAGAAATTTCAAATTAGAGGTCAGTCCGCTTTTTTATCCTCGAAACTTGATAACTTGTTGAAATTTTTTGTAGTTATTTCCGTAAAATATTCAAGATATGGAATCTTGAATTTCTCTTCACAATTTTGGATTTAAGTCGCCACAATTGCAAGTAATGAAAAAGGGATTAGGAAGATTACTCAAATGTATGAAAAACGGTTTACACTTACGGTTCGAAGTGGTCTCATAAATTATAAAATCTAATTATCCAAACAACGACACATTACTGAATAATATCATCACAAACTTCTGCGCAATAAATTTTTTTAAGGACTGATGTAATACTCGTATTAAATTGAAACACAATCTACATGCCCAATTACATTTTTAGAGAGTTTCTTATATCATGCAGAAATTACTTTAGCATGAAGAAATCAGTCTAAGAACCTTACTGTCACAGTCTATTAATTTTCACGGACTGCGACTGATTTAAGCAATATGCGAATTTATTCAAAGCCTTCTATTTAAATAAACTTTATAAAAATAGAAAAATAAAAATTGGTTGGTTATCTAGACGGTTCACGATTGGTAAATGTTTATTTATACAATTTAGTTTTTAACAAATTATTAATTAACGTGACAATCATGCATTCCAATCGATTGACTCACTTACAATGATAAAAGATATCATACTTTTAGCAAGACAAAATAGTGTGAATATTTATGATCTTTATTTTCAACTCGCCATATTCGGGAGGTTTTCTCGTTGTCTTTCCCAGAATTTCAATATATTCTAATAAATGGTTTATAATTTCGTGAAACTAACATCCCTGTAAAGACAATTTATAAATATTCTAATTTTGTGATATGTTAATAGGTAAGAATTATTTCAGGCAATACACATACAATTTAAAATAGCGGAGAAGCTGAGTTCGAATTTAAATTTTAAATTATAGATGATGAGGCTATATAACTTCGACATCAGTGAAAATAACAGCAATACTCTCCAGTGTTGAAAATTATCAATTTCTTGATTTAATATGTTATTTCATATTAGGATTTATATTTTAAGGGATAAAATTTTCGGTTTTAAATTGTATTTTTTTTTTTATTTTCGATATGCTAAATTTTTTGATATATCGTTAATCTTGTATGTAAATTTTGTGGTACATATAAAAATGTTGGGACATTACACAAAATAAGATTTAAAAAATGAAGTTCAATTAGATTGAAATTTTTAATAATCTAATAAATATAATGTATATGTCAACATTCTGCAGTGCCGGTCCATTAATAATGTTTGCTTTCTTCGTCAACAAATTTAAGCTCTGAGGATTCTTCATATTGCCGGAGACTTCAAATTAAATCAAAGTATTACAAAGTAACACGATAATATGTACGGATCATATGGGACCTTTGCAATAGAAAAGGGGGAAACGGCTGGAAAAAATAAAAATTGAGTTAGTGCTAAATCTGAAAATATTTTGATCTAAAAATCATATTTGGCATATAAAGTAAAATTGATTTTTTCCGACCGTTTCCCCTTTTCTATTGCAAAAGTCCCATATGATCTACCGATATTTATAAGTTAATGTGCTTTGCAACGATTAATATCTAAATTATTTATCAACGCAATCACAATAACGATATTATCGTGTGGTTTTATGATGTTGACTTAAAATTATGAAGAAGTTCATTATCTCTTACTCGTCATTTTTAACAAATTTTTTTAAAAAAATAAAAAAAAATCTGGAAGGACCACTTTTTAAGAATCACGAAAAAAGGTAAATTTTTTTACTTTTTTGTGATAAGCTTATAATTTAACAAATTTATTTTTAGGCGAATTATACTTTTATCAAACCTACTGGAAAGAATTTACTTAATATAAAAAGCAACATTTATATGTTAAAACTATATTTCTAGATATGGTAGATATGGCAGTTTTTAATGATAATGCATCTTCGATTATTTAGTTTTTTTTTATTATCCTTAACTTTAAAAAATATAGATGTAAGTACACCCATTAATACTGCAACAATAAAAAAGATCCCTTTTGTCAACCATTTGATATTCAAAAATTTTACAGCTGATAAACATTTAAGGTGTTCTATTCCGTTTTAATTGAATTGATATCGCTGAAAAGTGAAAAAGATATAAATTATCTAAAAATTCGTTAGAAAAAGTTTTTTGGGATATTTATTAATTAGCCCCCTTAGAAAACAAGGACAAGCTCGGGGTAAAAATTATAAAAGTTTTTTATCTTTAGCTCAGAAATTCTTATAATTTGATGACCAAAAATTTAAAATCTAAACTAAAATTAGGCGATGGATTTCTTGAAAACTTTTATTTCAGTTAACACAGTATCCCATGTTTACTATTTTATACTTATATTACTTTATTATATTTAAAATAGAAACAAATTACTAGATATTAATAAAAGTATAAGCAAATATTATTTATAGTTTAATATAAACTCCGTGATATCACAAAAAATATTAAAAAACAAGATCGTCTACATCATAAGGGTGAGCACGATTATAATTCAATAAGGATATAATATCACTTTATTTAAACAAAAGTAATGTCATTTAATATAGTAAAAAAATATAACTATGAAATAAAATTTTTCATAAACTATTTATGAATAATTGTATATAAAATAAAATTATTTACATAGAATATTTCATACATAATTTACGCAGTCACATAGATCAATTACTTAATAAAAAAGAACTTTAACATTAAATTTTTTCCTAAACTATTTGGTCAAAAATAACAATTAAAAATGACCTTTGTAAGAGAAAAAATATCTGCTTTGTTTCGATATTACATGTCAAATTCTTGATTAGGAATTTCCCATGTACAAAGCGTAGCTCCAAGAGCACAATCAGGGGACACATCAACAGATGATTTTTCGGTAGATTCTCGATTCGCAAACTGGATTGAATAAGTAGTACTTCCTGTTGTACCGTCAAAAGAGGCCAATTTAAAACACCAGATTCCATCGGGAGAACAAAAACTTTGTCCTACTGCGTTATCACTATTGAATTTTAAGCAACTGTTGTATCCAGTGTCTGCCCGAAAGCATACATCACCGTTGAGATTTGTCGCTCCAAGAATCGTAGTGCTGGACAACGTTCCTGCAACTTCGACAAATGTAGCAATAGCAGCTGGCACACAGGCCATAAATATCAGGGAATAAATAAATTTGGTGAACATTTTGAAATTTTGAATGTTTGACAAGAAAATTTTGGTTGAATTAATGTAACAATTTCTTGGAGAGTTAGAGAATTCTCCATGCTTGTTATATAATTATCTGGTGTGGCTCTGTTTCATTGATAAATCAAAATGTTTTGGTAAGTAGAAATTAAGACACGAGCAATTAAATTGCGCAACAAATATTTCGCAATTTTGCGCAGTTACTTCGCGCAATATTGTAGTATAAATCACGGACCCTGGCTCATTTGCCGATCTGAGATTCCGGCGAAATCTGAGATTAACAGAATAATTGCAGATCCGAGATTGTGGCATATTGCTTCAGTTTAATTGCGCAATTTTGGATCTGCAATATTTCGTGAAATTCTATCACGGAATTCACGATCTTTTACAATGATCAAGAAAAACAATTCCCTTTCAGCACTACGCCTGTTAAAACTAACCTTACTCAAATTTCTGCTGTCACCCGTCCAACTTCTACCTTTGATAATTTTAATAATCAATCCTCTTTAGCTCAATACCTGTTTAACCAAGTCTTATTCAAACTTCTGCTCCAATTAAAAACCATATGGTAGAAAGTAAAAGAGTATCTCTTTTTATACTTCATCAATGATAAATTTTAGCTAATTTTCGTAACTCTATAAAAAAAAAAAGATGGTTGTGGCTCCCGACTTTATTGACTTAAATGACGATCACACTTTATTTTTTTAGCAAAACAGAATAATTGAGGTAGGCGTTTGAGAACGCCCTCGGTAAAGTAAATAAATCAGATTCAACTACTAGCGACGATGAATTTATTTATTAAGTAATAAAATCGCACGTGAAAAATAAATAATCATGTGATCACGCAATTCTACCAAGAAAATTTTTATCTGATCCATTAGTTGTAAATTGCCTCGTGATATATATACATAGCGTTAATTGATCATGTGCCGGGAATGTGCCTACAACGAACGGACTTTCTTAAACAATCTTATTTTTCCGACGTACAGTAGAGCAGTAATTGTGGGTCAACCGTGGTTTGTAGCATCTTTTAACTGTGCCTATATAGGGCTATTGATTTGATGAGCAGTTAGCATATACGAGTTTACATAATAGAACTTTTTATTGATACATAACACACATCACATTACATGCACATGTTAAAAAATAATGCCCGAATCGTAAGTGAACAATAAAAAAAAACCTTTATTTACAATCCATAGTCATTAAATTTTTCGATGAAAACTGATGAACTAAATTGAAGCTCCTGACCCAGGATTATCATTTATTATATAATTAAACATTACATTTGTTTTTTACGCATTTCTTTTAATCACATTGAAAGGCATAACTCGAGACGCAGTGAATTACTTAAGACATGTGTGATTAAGTGCGTACTTTGAATTAATACTTTATTTTCAAACCGTCCAAAAACATCTTCTCAGCTTCCGAATTCACCATATTAAGTTACTCAAGCATTTTCCAAATTGATACATATCAGATTGTGATGCATACTAATTACCCTTCATGATGTTGAATTGTCCCAATCCTTCAAATGTTCAGACACTTCTAATCCATCCATATTCAAAATCGATAAGAACATATTAATAATCTGATGACACCAGGAACAAAGAGAATATTTGATAACCGAATGTCGCGATGAACGTAACCTTCTTTATGTAACCAAATTAATCCAGAAAGCACACTCTATGACATTTCACGTGCTTCGTCTTCGTTTCTCAATCGTCAAACATGTCCTCGCGTTTCTAATACAACCTTGTAAATTTCTTGTCTACTAATTTTGAAGACTTTTTTTTATTTTAATAAGCTCTAGATGACCTCTTGCATATCTGTATATTTCCAATAAGAAATTGATACGATTACACTACATGGAAGATATTTCAGTGATACCCTCTTCTCTACTGAATCATCTACAATGCAATCATCGATTTTTCAGTTTTCAACCTTTCCCAAGAGGAAAGATCATTTCGGGGATAGTATTACTCAAGTTCTCATTATGCGTGCAATATTGGCAATTGTACGGAGGATGAAAACACGATCTCGGCGATTATTGATGTCCAATTGATTTGAAAGTGTAACTAAACGGCCGATCTATCAATTGCGAAAAAACCCAACCTTTTGTCGTGTTACGGCGTAACAAATCATAAACTTTATTTTTCCGAAATATATTGAATCGAACTTATTGAATTTTTCTTCAAGTTATTCCATGGCATCTTAAAATCTTTGACTTCAGCTTTCTCTCCGCCTTTAAATAAAAGTACGTTGTTCGTCAAACATAAAAAATCTGGTCTTTTATTGCCTATCATGTCATTCCTCGATCATTGCTGTTACGATCGATTTTAATTTGAAGCATTTCCCCACCCATCAAGACTCTCGTGAAAATCTGGAATGGGATTCTATTCATTCTATCTATGCCCCAGTGTATTATATCTTCTGAAGTATCATTTAAATTTTGCTTAACAATAATGTCCATAAGTAAATTGGAAATACGTTTTGATAGGTTACTTTCCGTTTGTTTCAATAAAATCAACAAGTTGGGGGGACATAATCTCCTCGTAGAAGGATACGGCAGTGTTGGCCTTGTGCCGTTTGACCAAGGTTTGGCCATTGGTCAATTTGTCCGGCCAAAATGGCTAAAAAAATTCTTGGCCGCGGCAAAATACCAATCAAATTCTAATAAGTATTAATACATTTATTAATATCTAGTTATTTGGCCAAAATTTGGCTGTTTGACCATTTTTGGCTATTGGCTACGGCCAAATACCAATACGGATAGATTTCTAATTAATGGCAGTACAATAAATACTTCGCTTGACTTGGATGGTCTAGTTGAATGAGCGCGTCGCAAAACAAGCCAGTTCCATCAACTGCATCTCTTCATAACTCCGTATTGATGCTATTAGAAAGAAGTACAATAAACGTAATTTCGTTAATATATGTAAAAAAAAAAAAAAAAAATAAGTATTATGAAAAACTTAATAGGTTAGAAGGAGGAAAGAACGCTGGATCGCGTTCATTCGCGTTGACGAAATTTATTACGATTCACTTATCAGGTTGTTCTACGAAATGTGAATGTGTTTTTTGGCAGATTTGACGATAAGAAGCAGGAAAGAAAAGCGTAAAATTAGCTTTCGGTATTATTAGCAAACATGACAAAAAAATGACATTTACCAACAGCAAGTGCTACATTCTCCTTTTCATTATTTTATTAATCTTCCTCTTCTTGAATTCCTGATGTGAGTAAGGTCTTATATGATGAAGAAGGTATATAGCAGATTCCTCCTCCAAAATCAGCGGAACTTAACATAATATGGGACGTTTGTTATTAAAATCAAGCTACGAGACATAGTAAATCATATGATCCATAACGTGATTTAATAGCAAATTACCAATGTGACTGGACGCTCTTTTCCATGTACGAGGGGCGGGACGAGCAAACTCACTATGCTCGTTAATATCTTCACATTCCTCAGAACATGTCAAAACACTAGCCTTTAACAGACGTTTTTAATCGACCTTCTTTTGATTCCGGTTCTAGGTTATTTGAAAAAACTTTCAGTTCATTGCTCAAATCATTGTGAGATTTACGTTCTGACGTTTTCGGATATTTTTTTTTAAAAAAAATATCACAAGTCTTTACGTCCTATTTATCATGAGGGTCTTCCAGTACTCTAAAATATGTATAAAATATTAGAGTATTATTAACGCGTGATAAATATACTCTTACACCTATTGAAAACATTTCTTAAAACTACTTTTGACAACATTCAAGGACAAAAAAATAAAAAAGAAAGGAAACGACGCGTTTTTCACGGAAATATTTGAGTTAAATATTATATACAAGAATCTTTCGTAATACAGCGACACGAGATTTTAAACCCGAAATATGATATTATTATTGGTCGTGCGCACAATCTTCCGGCGTTTATTTTAAAATCTGCAAAAAATCTGCGATAGTAAATTTCACATATGGGAGATTTGCTATTAAAATCAAGTTACGAACATAGTAAATCATATGATCCGTAACGTGATTTTAATAGCTTACTTCCCATATATTTGATTTTATTATTACATTTACCACCCTAACGTGACAAGTAACTACACTTATTTTTTAAAATAAAAAATCTATCCGGATATTTGAATGTGTGTATTAAAGAGTTTGTAAACTTCAAATTGGGGGTGCATTTGTGAGCATGGAGAGTTCATGTCGGCTAAAATAATTGTCCAATCGAAATTCAAGTGCTTGTAGCTGATAAATTACAATATTTTGCACAAGAATGATTGACACTCTTCTTTATATCAAAATAATTTTATGAGTTTACCGAATATTAAAAAATACATTTTACTATCTTCTGAAATTAAAAAGCTTCCAGCTATGGTGCCACCAATTTAATTATTTAATTGGAAAGTCTAAACGTGGTGAAACTTCCATGGTTTTGTTTCTTTCCATTTTCCAAGGTCTGGATTATGTTCCATTGCAATAAATTCCGGGACTTTGCATCTATGATTTTGTTATGTTGTGCTTGGCCATATTTCGCTTATTTTGAAATTTTATTTATCTTTTAATTTCATAATAGATGTATTTCTGTTTATTTAAACAAAAAAAAAGATCTTACAGTTTTACATTTTTTTCTTTTTTTTTGAAAAAATTTTATTACGATAAAGTTTCTTTCAGATGGTTACAAAGCATCGGAAAAAACAATAACCATTGTGAAAACGGGATAGTGATATTTTCAACCAATCAAATGATAATAACTCACAAGTACTGCATAAATGATTTAATTTCTGTCCCTCTTTTCAAAAATTCAAAAAAATTTTTTTAAAAATAAAATGAAAAATGAATATAAAGGAAAAATATTTATTGGAATCCTAAGCAAATAATATAATGTTTAATATTTGATTCTACTTGACTTAATTGATGAGTAAAACTTTTAAACCTTCAAAAACTTCCAAGATTTGCAAAACTT